TGGAGAAAACCCTTTTCGCAAAATATTTTGCGTAGCATTAATGTTTTAGTAGGTTTAAGGCCTGAAAAGACTAATAATTTTGCTTTTATCTATTTTCTTATTGTCATGATATGTACATTATATGCAGCAAAATTCTCTTGTCAGATAACAGAAAGACACTGCCCGAGTTTATTTCATGCCGTTGACTTCGATAATAATCTTTGACAGTACAAGAGTTTTTGGAGTTTCAACAGAGTCTATGCAGCTTTCTTTTGACTCCAGAGGTAATTGTGTGCCAACAATACTTCTGATGATGCAAAGACGCTTGTACTTCCAAGGCGGTTTGCTGGTAATATGACCTTGCATTATTTCCTTACTCTTCTTCTTCATTTATGCTGTCTAAAATTCTGAATCAAACATATAACTAAAGAGTTACAAAGTCATTATATGCTGATACTGTGATACTGTTTCGACTCTGGAAAACAACTGATTGCACTCGAATTCAAAGGCAGAAGGAATCTTCAGAATTAACGCTGAGAATGGCCAGGAAGAGTTTGTCAGGGAACAACTAAATAATGGGAAGGTTCCACACAATATTGAGGTTCATTGTTTAGCAGGTCTCATCAAGGTACTCCTCTGTGACTTGATTCTGCTGAATCCTTTCTTCAGAACTTCAGTAATCAGAAGAATTTAATGTTGTGTAAATGCTTATATATTGCATCAACTTCAAGTAATGGTGCTTTGCAGGCTTGGTTCAGAGAACTCCCAAGAGGAGTGTTGGACTCTCTCCCACAAGACGAGGTTATGCGGGCTCAATCTGAAGAAGAATGCACTCAGCTTTTACGGCTCCTTCCACCTACAGATGCCGCTCTATTGGATTGGGCAATTAACCTCATGGCTGATGTCGCTCAGCTTGAAGATTTGAACAAAATGAATGCACGTAATATTGCCGTAGTTTTTGCACCAAATATGACGCAGGTGAGCAGAAATGTAGTGGTCTATTTGTTAACTAAATAAATAAGCCTCTTTTCTATCAGTTTAAACTTTTAGATGAGGTGGTTTAACATGCTATCAGGTCGAATATAGATCTCAATTCAATTCATTCTGTCACCCACTGATGAAAATTGTGCACGCGACAAACTCTCTGTGAGAAAATTGAATCTGGCATGCAAGTGAGGGGATGTTGAAACTAAATGAGTAAATAATTTGTCATTTATTTAACAGCTTAAGCTTTAGATAATGTGGTTCAATACTCTTGATGGATGAGGTTTATACTATACTTCAGAATCTTTATCCACCGAGTTTTTATGTTTTCCTTTCACACTTACTCTAATTTGGTTGGAGGGTGCTATTTTTTCTTGCTGCAGATGGCAGATCCTTTGACAGCATTGATGCACGCAGTCCAAGTAATGAACTTCCTAAGAACTCTGATAGT